GAAAAATGGCTAGCCTAATGACTAAATATTGTACTACCCAAATTTGTGTCGTGGAGAAAATTGGGTTTTTATATGATTGAAATTCTATCCAAGAAAAACGAGATTTCCTCAAATCGATTTCATCAATAACATTCTTCTGTTGTCAAACTGTGAGGCGACACATCCACAATTTCATATCTTTTTGAAACAATAAAAATAAAACCGATTTCATCAACAACAAGTGAAATAAAAATATTAGAAAGCAGTCATTGTTTATTCTCCAGTTGTCGACCTGTGAGGTGACACACCCGCAATTTCATATCTTTTAAACAATAAAAATAAAATCGATTTCATCAATAACAGCTGTCATTGTTTATTCTTCAGTTGTCAAGCTGTGAGCAATTTTATATCTTTTGACAGCAGTTTTCCCACCATTTTAGAATTTTTCATCCCATAGATGACGCTTGAAAAGCTTTTTTCAACGCCATCTATGGGATGAAAAATTCCAAAATGGCGGAAAAAAGTGCATATCATACTACTTATGTGCGTGTGGATTGCTACTTGGCAACCAAGTGGACGACTAGAAACGGTGACACCAATTTGAGCTTCATCGAAGTGAGACGATCGGACTCAATTGAATGGAATCCTTATCATTTTCATTAAACATAAATTTTAGAATAGTAAAACGACGTGAGTTACGACATTTTTTTATACTTGATATTTTTAGATGTTTCTTTGTAATAAAATTTTGATGGTCAATTCAGTAAATAAATAATATCCAAAAAAATGTTCTTTAAATCTTATTTATTCAATTGTTCATAAATACGGCTAATTAGGATAAAGGGAAAGGCACCATAGATTTTGTTTTTTTTTCATTGTGTAGTTAATAAAATGAAAATTCGATACATTCGGAATTCGTTGGATTCATATATTTTGGAGATTCGAATATGATCCTTCTCATCAGTATCACATTCGATTCTCGTCGATGCACATTAATATAAATGGATGCAAAGGTTGTGATCGATTGAATGTTTTTAACCATATATGGTTAATGATTATTATATTTATTGAAAGAGCTGAATATCTAGTTGCAAATGGGGCAAACGTGACTGCTGAAGCTATCAGCAAATTGACGCTTTACATTGCTGCAAAATACCAACTTTTGAGTGGGGTATAAAAGTTGATTGCCAAGCAAGTTAATAGATTAAACGTTCTCAATCGTTTTGTACCAGAATTTTGCTCGGAATGAGAAATAACGTCCACAGGGGCCTCAAGGTATTTCGAACGTGCTGAAATGAATTGAAACGACGAGGCTAACAATTCAAATAGAGCCAACTTCAGATCAAAGTGGAAAACTTCAATTCGAAATCCTTGTCCAACTTTTTTTTATTATTCTGGTTGAGATTTATGATGTTTGGCCATAAAATTCATCCATGGAGTAAATGTTGATCAGAGCAAGGATGAATCCATTCCAAATTCCAAATGTTTTTCAACTGATTTCATTTCTGACACTTCATGTCTTTTCATTGTTCGATGATTTAATCCTTGATTTTGAAATCAATTACAATCTTGGGCAATGAGAGTGACAACAGCAGCAATGTAAGTTCGAAGGACAGCAATACCAGCAATGACATCACCAGCGATGGATTGCCAAGTTTAGAAACGTCGTCATCAACTCGCCAATATATCGCTGTTACGCAATCGTCGATCATAAAACGCAAGAGACCATTGAAACGAGAATTAGCCGACGTTGAGGTAGGTCCACCTAAAAATAGATCAAAAAACACTTTTTACACAATATTTGAATGGAGATTAACTTAAAGTTGGATAAATTAGTTGAATTACGCACAAATAAAAACAACACATTAACATACATGCACTTGCCTGCAGAAGCTAATTACGTAAATGGAATTTAGCCGATGTATGTGTATTTACAACTGACAAAAAAACAACAGCAACAGTTTTAGGGGATAATATGATATCCCCCTATTAGGGATAATATGACATTGTGAGCTGTCAAAGTAGTTTTGTGTTTCACCGTGTTGCCCGGGTGTCAACGGCGCTCAAAACGTATTGGCTGAACGATATTAACTCTTGAACTTATTACATGGTTGATGGAACATAGGCGAATTCGAGTTTAGTATTAAAGTTTGAGCAGAATAAATGAAGAAGAAAAAACAGATACAATACACACTGTTATAATTATGTCACATTTCTTGTGTAACATTTTTGAAACGAAAAAATGATATTTCAAAAATAATTCAACTAATTTTTAAAATGATAAATATTTTAAATTTCAATTGATTCTAAAAGTAAATTTTGGCCGAAAATTGGAGAGTCATAATCCAGAACAATCTTTGGATAACTATTTGCCCGCACATAATATTGTATGCACCGCCTAAGATCTTCATTTGATGGGTGGGCGTCAAATAGTTTGCATGATAAAACATCTTTGGAGAATCTCCAGCAATTGGGTTCCTTTAGATTCAAGTATGTAACGCCAACTTCACTTGCTTTATTTGACCGGTCTTCGGTATAAATGTTCAGAGCAGAAACGCTTACCTTTTGTTTCACTAATAATTTACACACCGCTGTGGAAAAGAAGCTTAAACTACACTGAAATAATAAGTATCAATCTATTGAATGAAAGAATTTGTTTCTCTTTTGATTCTCTTTTCTTTATTGCGATTTTAACTGTTGAGAGAAAAGCCGCACTGGCATAAAAACTCTCGCTCTGTTCTCGGTAACGAACCGCTCTGAAACGCGTTAGGTCGCAGACTCAATCATGGTCGCGAGGCGACGACGATTCTGTGCTCTTATTAAACATCGCACGCGCTGTGCGATGAAAAATGACGTCAGCTTATTTTGACTTTTTGTGTTGTTGCTTTGAAGGAACTTTGGGAATTTCACCGAGCCGTTGACACGACTCGGTACACTCCCCACGGTGAGAATGGCACATTACTCACCTTTATTCTCCTGGTGATTTCGGGCACAACAAACTGTTGTGCTTTGTACCACAGCGCTTGCAAACGCCCTGCTTGCATTGGCCCGTGGTGTGCGCTTGCGAAAAGCAATTATGACACAAACGGTTATAGTCCAGAAAGGCACGCTTCTGACCAACCGACATATTTTTGAATTGCTCACATTTGTGTAGGAAATGCTCTCCATTGCAATTCAGGCACACAGGCTTGTGCTTTTTGCCCTTGGATGTTGATGGTTCGGCTGCTCCAACTGGCGGTTGGAATCGATGCATCACCGGACGATTTGCCTTTGGCACAGCACCTTGTGATTGTTGTTGTTGTTGTGGCCGCTCATGTGGATCAATTCGTTTGCTCCGTTTGACCAAAAAATCGGTTAAACCTTCGATCGTTGGCTCAGCACGATCGAGTTGCCACATCCATAATGAGCGGCTAATAAAGTCCAATCGATTTTGGATTAAAGCAATTATGAATTGCCGCTCTTGCTCCAAGGGAAAGTTCAAGCGCTCTGCTCGTTCGCGCATTTCCATGATAGTTACCAAAAAACGATTCAGTGCCATTTCGTCCACTAAGCTCATTTGCTCTATCTCGAACAAAGGGCGAAACAACACCTCAAAATCGAGGAACGGTAGGTGCACAGCAGCTACATTTTCACTTGATCCCATTTGCACATTTTGGGAGACATCAACGGTAACTGGTTTTATTGTTTCCGACATAGTTGGCTCGTGGCCGCCCCAAGCTCCTTCTTCCGAATTCAACGCGGGTGGTTGCACTTGTTGCCCAACTTGGTTTGTGATGGCCGCTGGATTATCACCATGCTCGGTGACTTCCATAGCATTGCCATCGGGTTGCACTTCAGCTTGTGCTGTTGCTTGCTCTTGTTCTTGGTTTGACAATCGTGTAATTATTGTCAAACCGGCGTTGTAAAACGCGCGCTGCGCTTCAACACTTCCTTCGAGCTGGGTGGCACGTTCTTCCTCGCTCATGAGTTGTATTTCTTCATGAAATGCTACAAACATGCCGTTGAGCTCATTTAATGCACGCTCTGGCGTGTGTTCGCCAATGCTCAAGCCTTCGAGCATTTTTGTGATTTTATCCACAAATTCGTCACACATCTGAAAATATATTGTTGTGATTATTTTAAGGAAGCACGTTTCACTTGAGCGGGAAATTTCATCACAAATTAGCACTTTGTATTCAATTACACTGAACACTGATAAAAGTCCTTAGTGCTCTTTGCACATATAGTTTTAATGAAGTTCACAACACTGCGACATATTCACTTTTTATTTCACTTAATCACAATATCGATTCTTCATCTTACCTTGCTCGAATATAATTGCACAGTTTTTTCAGGCACAAAAATCAAGGCACAATCTTTTAGAAGTTGAATTTTCGACTATTCACTTTCACTGCTCCTAAAGGAATACTGCACTGACAAAATGTTGCAAGAGTCACCACTCTGAATAAGTTGGCCGCTCACACTTACACGGACACTATACTGAGACTCGTGCTTTGAGCTGATGAAAGAGATTTCGATAATCTGCATCTCTTTCTTTCGCACAATGCTCTATCGGCGAACTTGGTTTGCTTGTTAACTCTGCTCGTGTGTGAGTGCACAACACGAACGCTGCCGCGCCAGCAAGAAACCAAACATGCCTTGCTCAAATGGTTTTGCATGTTTTTGCCTGCACACTGCGATCCGTTAATCTCTTTTCTCAGAACGAAAAAGAAAAAACAAACCATTTTAGCATTTGTTTGGACACACAACGAGTGTTTGTTTGTCCGTCATAAAATGTGTTGACATGAACACATTTCGAATGCGCATTTCACCAACGCTCTTGGTGACAAAAATGAAACATTCTTTTTGCTCTCGATGCGCAACATTGTATTCATGCTCAAAAAATGAAATGTTTGAAATGTGATTCTTCGAGAACCTTTTTCAAAACAATTAGCTCCGTTGTTTTGTGTATTTTGAAATTGGTGCTCGTAAACATAAAATTGTATATCGCTCGATAATGATGCTCAACAAATTTCTCGGACTCAGCTTTTTGAGTTGCTCGAGCCATCTGAAATTTTGTCAATCACTGCGATTTCTTTCTCACGCTCTTTCTCGTCTTCGACCGGCAATAAACATAATTTCTGTACCGGTCGAACGAGTGTTTTTCTTTTAGCTCGCTCTTGGGTTGTTGGCAATAAAACAACAACCGAACGTACCAAACCGTCTTTGCTACGTATCAGCTCATGAATGCGCCCTATTTGCCAATAAGTTGGTGCAATGTTATCTTCACAAATCAGTACTAATTGCCCAACCTTGAACTCATGCACTTGAGTCCATTTTTTGCGCTGCATTAGCGTTGACAAATAGTCTTTGCGCCATACATCCCAAAATGATTTTAACATTTTCTGTTGCTCTTCTCTTATTCTTTTTAATGAATAATTTGCTATTGCCGGTGCCGCTATTGGCGGTGGCAAAATAAACGGCTCACCGATCAAAAAATGACCTGGACATATCACTTGCATGTCCGTTGGGTCATCGCTCATAGCATACAATGGACGTGAATTGAGAACTGCTTCTACCTGCACTAGGAATGTGATTAAATCCTCGTAAGTATATGGTTTTGCTCCAATCACCCTTCTGAGGTGATATTTACACGATTTTACTGCCGCCTCATAAATTCCACCTTGGTGAGGTGCTGACGGCTTCATAAACACCCATTGTGTGCCCTTTTTATTCAAATGCTCTAAAACGGCTGGTGAATGCCAATGCACAAAGGCTGCCTTAATCTCTTTGTCTGCTGCAACAAAACAGGTACCATTGTCACTGAAAATCTTGTTGCAGTGACCACGTCTAGCAACAAAGCGATCAAAGCATGCTATGAACGCTGCTGCTGATGCATCGGTAACAATGTCAATATGAACAGCACGTGTCACCATGCACACAAAAATTGCGATCCAACATTTTCGCTTAGTTGATCTGCTCTTATAACGCTCAGTCAGCTCAAATGGACCGGCATAATCCACAGACGCTATCAAAAAAGGTCGATTTTGAAGCACTCGGTCCGCAGGTAGCTCAGACATCAATTGAGTCTCGAACTTTTTCACATGACGAATGCATTTAATGCATTTACTCAAGTATGCTCTTAGCTCAATTCGCAATCGAGGGATCCAATACCTCGTGCGAATATATTGAATCATCAGCTGAATCGAACCATGCTCTGTGGCGCGATGCGCTTCCCATGCAAGCAAATAACTCAAACGAGAATTTGATGCAATTATCACTGGGAATTTGGTGTCATATGGCAAGTCAGCCTGGCTCAAACGACTACCTGCTCGTAAAATTCCTTCTTTGTCTAAAAAGGGCCGCAGTTTTATGATACTGCTGTCCTTTTGTACTGTTGTTATTTGCTCATCATTTGTCATATCCTTCAAGTAATTATACTCTTTTGGAAAGGCCTTCAATTGCTCTTGCTGAATGAAAAATTTCAACGCTTCTCTTTTCTCATTCTCATATAGCGGATCAGGCAATTTCTTGTCGCTCTGAATTGCCTTTTTGCTCCTTGTTTGCCTTTGAAACAAATTTTTCGTTCGCGTTTTGTTACGACAATTGTTAACAAATCGCAGCACATAACCCAATATCCAAGTCAATTTCTGAAAGTGATTTGAATAATCCATCAAGCGAATTACCTCTGGCTCAAAATTTTTGACGAATATTGTCAAATCATGGTTAGCCTTTGCCTGCGTAACCGCATGCACTTTTAACTCGCCCTGCAACTCAATGGATGATTGCAATTTACTTACATCCAATGGCTCCGGCCATTGCTCTTGAGGCTTCGAAAGCCATGATGGACCATGCCACCATAAATTATTATGCACAAGCTCCTTGGCAGACAATCCGCGACTCACTAAGTCGGCTGGATTATCCGCCGTTCGCACATGCCTCCAATTTTCTACGTCGGTCAACCCTTGAATTGTTTTCACTCGGTTTGCAACAAAAACCTTTAGCTCATACACGGGTTTTTTCAACCATTGCAACGCGATAGTACTGTCCGACCATAGAAAATACGGCACTTGTTTTAGCTCCATTGAATTGCGCACAACAATGAAAAGTTTGCTCAATAATTCTGCCGCTGATAATTCCAATCGGGGAATTGTCACCTCTTTAATCGGCGCTATTTTAGATTTCGAAGCGATCATAAGGCACGAGATATGACCGCTCAACTTCTGAATTCTCAAATACATACCGCAACCATAGGCTTCTTTAGAGCTATCAGCGAAGCCATGTAGTTGCAATTGCACATCACATTCCATTCCAAGCCAACGTGGGATGCGGATTTGCTCTAAATCCACAATAGTTGACCAAATAGAAAGCCATTCTTGCTCTATATTACCTGGAACAAGCTCATCCCAGGTTAATTTTGATACCCATAGTTTGCGCATAAGTAATTTTGCTCGAGTAATTACGGGTGCAATAAAACCATTCGGGTCATAAAGACGACCAATTTGACCTAAAATTGTTCGTTTTGTCAGTTTAACGCTCATTTGATAATCTCTGACCTCGTAAGTAAATTCATCCTTTTGGATTTGCCACTTCAAACCCAATACAGATGGTTGATCTGGCTCTTCAAACAGATGTGAAACAGCCTCTTCTCCATCCATTTTGTGCACTAAACTTTCATTGTTTGAGACCCATTTTCGCAGCTCAAAACCGGATTTACCCAAAACCGTTTTGATACCCGCGGCCAGTTCAATAGCACTCTCTTGGTCCTTTGCTCCAGTAATGCAATCGTCCATATAAAAATCATTTCGGATTACATTTACTGCTTCTGGAAATTGCTCTTGCAATTGAGGTTCAATCTCCAACATCGACCGCACAGCTAAATACGGTGACGATGCATTCCCAAATATAACAACAACCAGCCAATATTCCTTTAGTGGCTGATTTGAATGTTCGCGCCAAAAAATTCTCTGCAAATCCCAATGCTCTTTGTTTAAACGCACTTGTAAAAACATTGATTTAATATCTGCATTAATAGCGACCTTATGGCGTCTAAAACGCATTAAAGTCTCATACAGATTGCGTTGCAACTTTGGCCCCTTGAATTGCGCGTCATTCAAAGAAATGCCCAAAGTTGTTTTGCAACTCGCATCGTACACAATTCTGAATTTTTTAGCGGTGCTCACTGCATGATGTGGTATGTAATATACCATATCTCCTTGTTTAGCGCTCGTAGCCTCGATCATATAACCATTTGCAATGTTCTCGCGCATTTTTTCAATGTATTGCTCATGGTGGTCTTTGTCTCTAGCGAAACGTTTTTCTAAACCAAAAAATCGACGTAACGCTATGCCACGAGAATCGCCAAGCTCTTGCACAGTCGGTTTCAATGGAATTTTCACCACATGTCGATTTAAGTCGTCTCGATAATGTGATTCCTGAAACATTTGCTCTGTCAACTCATCTTCAACGCTCTTTGTTGAACACAATTGCAAATCTTCAAATTCCCAGAATTTTTTCATGATTTGCTCGAGCTCGCTCACATTCACATTGTACACATGTTTACTTTCAATGATCTGCACTTGTTCACCATTCTGCTCACCCACCCGGCCGGAAATCAAATTTCCTAATATTGACTCTTGAGCCAGCACACGATTGTCTAATTTGCACGACGATCCTTCAATTATCATTGACCATATTTCAACGCCCAACAGTAACGAGACACCGGATGATTTCCAAAATGTTGGATCCGCCAAACATTGTTTAAGTGGATTCGCGAATGGTTTGCACGGAACATCTCTAATTGGAAATAATGGTTCCCATTTGCTCTCTTTTGGCAGCACCATAAAATTCGCATTCACTTTTTCGGTTTCATTCTCACCAAACCAAGGTTGAATGCTCATATTTATCTTTCTTTTCACTCGCACTGGTGCGGCATCAATACCTACTATTGATCCATTCATTTTCATTACACTTGAAAGAAAATGTCTAATTGCTCGATGTTTTACAAGATTAGCTTCAGACCCGGTGTCACATAAAGCTCGGTAAATTCCAATGAATTTTTCATCGATAAAAACCTTCACCATTGCAGTTGGCAAAATCACAACTGCCACACCCAATGGTAAAGTTTGCTTGCTTGCATTCGACACTAGTCAACTACTTTGGCCTTCTGCCTTCGGTTGGTTGCTCTTTTTCTTGAAATTATTTCGCACTTGCACTGAGTTGATCGACTTATTTAATGGATTTTCCGGACACAACAAACTGTTGTGTTTTTTATTCTCGCACCGCTTGCATCCGGACAATTTGCAATCTTTGCTTGTGTGCGACGGATTTAAACAGTTGAAACAAAGCTCATGCTCTCTTGCGCTCTTTCTTCGCTCGGTCAAACTCAGTTTTTTGAATGTTTCACATTTGTGCACCGCGTGAGCGCCCTTGCACACTTTGCACGTACGATCTGATTTGTTTTCATTCGCACCATTCGGTTTGGATCGCTTTGCATCTGAACTCGATTCAGATTTGGTTTCAAAGTAACCTCTTTTACGATTGTCATTTTGTTTTTTCTGTTCATAAGAAGACGAGCTTGGCGCCGCTCTGGCTTGTCGATCCAAAAATGACAACATTTGAAAGATTGTTGGGGTATCAGATGTTCGCTCCAATTCCCATGCTTTGCTTGAATCACTATCAAGCCGCGTGTGAATTCCAGCCACGAAAAATAAATCATAATGCTGCACGGGGTAATTTAGTGTACGCAATTGACGAATCACTTCGTGCGTAACATTGCTCATTTTTTGAAGCGCATTGTGTGATGCCCTTTCCAGAACCGGCAGTGCCAGAAAGCGGTTCAACAGCTTGCGCGCTGTGTAGTATTTCTGCGCATACAGCTCTTGCATACGCTCCCACAATTCATAATAACCGGCCTCCGTTTGAGGCCATTCTCCCAAATCTGCCTTTGCTTTACCTTTCAGCGACTTCAACAAATGCATAATTTTGAAAGCCGGGGTAATTTGCTCATTGTCATGCACCGCAGATTTAAATCGATCGTGAAAGCCTTGCCATTTTTCAACGTTTCCGTCGAATTCGCCCCAATTGTTCTCGAATTGACCTTTCAAATGGAACAAAACTGGCGGCAACTGCTGTTGCATACTGTCTCGCAATTGAGCAGTAATATTTGCACTTGATGCTGCAGCTTGCTCTTGCTCTCGCATCGTTGATTGATCATCTGGATCAATATCAGTAACTGCAAATTGCCCTGGTCGAACACGAACAAAACGACCTTCGTGCGATCCACTCGCATTGCTGTCATTTTCCTCTTCGTCATTTTCGACTTCAATTTGCTCTGTATTTGCTCTTAATTGTTCGATTCGTGTATTGATCCGCGCACTTGCGTTCAAATGACCATTCTCGAACTCGTCCAGATCTTTCAACTGCTTTTCTTTGTCGACGTCCGGATTTGTGCTCATCCAAGCGGAAAAATTTTGCACGCATCGCTGATAATTTTCGCGAAGATGATTTAATCTTGTCTGCAAATCCGCAATGGAACTTTGCTCAAACTGGTTGCTCCGAATAAATCGCTCTGCGTTCCTCAATGAGCGAACACAAGCGTCAATTGCTTCGATCTCAGCCATGGTAATTGTTTTCAAGTCGGTATCTGCCTTCAAACTGAAACACTCGCTCATAGATGCACGCACTTAACTCTCAGTAAACCGTTAATCACGGATGACGAACGATCCAACGGAGGTACATTAATCAACCACTGCTGAGACGAAATTTGTCAAGGCATACTTTGTTTTTGATACAACATCGGTTGTATGGCTCTTTTTCTCTCTTACATAGGACGATGCATGGGCACGATCAGAGTTATCGCTCAGTTCCCGCTTATGCATTCTCTTCGATCCGCTTATTCTATGCTCTTTCGTAAACGGCTCGCATTTTCTAGGAATTTTGCTCTAACTCTGTCGCACACAATCACATCGTTTGTGCGTCACACAAGTCGGAGAAAGAATCGCGCTTATTGATTCTTCGTTCGCTCGCTCCTTCTGGCTTGTGTATCCTCACGCATATTTACCAACTTTTATTTATTGGTCCAAGCTCTCTCTCTCTCATTAGCGTGTGACAATTCTCTTTGTGCCACATACAACTGTGCGAACGAGAACAGATTACTGTAGCACCAAGTGCTTCTCCGTCTCCTATCGATCGACTTATTCGGCCATCTCACGCACCGAATGTTATGTGTTGAAATTCTCTCTTCTAAAGCTATGCCGTTCGCTCTTGAACGAATTCTATTGCAATAGCTGAATTTCTTTTTCTTTCTTTCCAGCTGCGCCGTTTGCCTTGAACGAATTCACACGCTGGAAATATGAGTCGCCAGTGCCTAGCACATGCGAACAAACAAATCCAAATAAACACTACTCTCAATGCGCGTTATTTCATTTTGTTTGCTTTCTTTTATTACGCCGTTCGCTCTTGAACGAATTCGGTAATAACTGAGATTCCATATTGAATCTCTATATTGCTCTCGCTCTGATGTTCGTACGAATGCATTCACTTGAAGAGACAGCTAGCTAGCCTGCGACAGTCGCCTGTAACGAAAGAGACTAAAAGAAACTTAAATTTGGACGAGTGTTTCTTGGAATCCTGTGTTGCCGCGTAGCGCACACACACACACCCATTCGAACACACTCAACTATTTCACAATGCAATGCCATGTTTCATCACTTCACGAAACAATTTCAAATTCACTTGAAACGAAATGCCTACATGCAAGAAATATGAATGCACATAATTTTCACTTTGATTAATAATTTTTTCTGCCCAATATCTCACTTTATTTGTGCTCACAAACAAAATGAAATGCACAATCTCACGAGTCTGCAACCTGATTTAGCTCCACGGTTTCGGCACCATAATGTTCAGAGCAGAAACGCTTACCTTTTGTTTCACTAATAATTTAC